TGCGGCAAAAACCACGCTTTCCGAGACGCCCCTTGTGACATACGGACGGTCTGCACACGTGGTTGCCCGTCTTGCGACTCCTTGAAAAAATCTCGACAACAGCGCGGCTGCCCCAGTCGCTACCGGACACGTTCTCGTCGCCGTGATACGAACCCACGAAGAAGGGATACTCAGACACACTCCTGGATAGAGCAGGCGGCGCGTCGAGTCCGCGCGCCACGGTCTGCGCGAGGTTGCTCTCCTCAACGCGAGCGCTGCCGATCATGCTCCGCTGCTTCAGAGTCACCGGGAACAACGGCAGCCCGGCGGTGGTTCTCATCGCCTTGGGAACGGCGAAATGATGCGCTACGGCTTCCTGGCTGCGGAACATGACTGAAGCGTGATAGTAGTAGAGACGCTTAAATTCGTCGAGAAAAGAGTTCTTCTTGAAGATATCGTCGGGATGCGAGAAGCCAAGAATCTGCACGAGCATATGTATGTGCAGCGCCTTCCGCATCTGTTCCTCAACAACTCCGAGATAGGAGCGCACGTGCCCGAATACACCCGGCACCTCGCTCGCCGCGATGCCATCCGGAGGCAGGTTCGAGGGTCCATCAGCGCAGTTGAATATATAGCGCATCACGTCTTTGACGGTCGAGTGGAAAACACGTTGGGCATAGTAAGGGTCTTGCGCCACGCGACGGTGGAGAAGACGAGGGTGCTCTGCTTGAAATTCTTTCATCCAGTCCTCCGCCTCCTTGTCGCTCATGTTCAGGGAGAATCGCCTCTGCATCTCTGTGCCGTCCTGCGCCAGTAGCACCGTCAGCGGACTGCGAATGTCGCGGGGATTCAGCGTAAAGAACAAAGTCGAGCAGCCCGAGTTTATCTGAAGAGCTCGGAAATTCCACCTGTACGAGTCCCGCTCTTCGGCAGATCCACGCACTTTCCGGGACACGGCCTGCATTTTTTCAGCGGCTGTGCGGACTGGTTGGGTCAACTTTTTATTCCTCAGAAGATCGCTCATGCCCTTCGCATCGCCTCCCATCGCGATCGCGGCGGCAACCAAACCTTCCGCTGTGATCTCGTTCACCCTTTGCATCTCATCGGGAGTTATGCCCATGAAGCCGCCGCCGGGCGTCTCCCTCATGCACGCTTCCACCTTGCTCATCTGATCTCGACGCATAAAGATGTTCACCACGGATGCGACGAACTCCAGGTCCTTCCGCCAGTAATCACAATCTGCTCGTTTAAGTAAGCACTGGATCCACCTATTGGAAGACAAGAACGATACGGTACTATCCGCCGCTTTACGTTCTGGGCAAGCTTCCTGACAGTCTCCCCGAGGAAACAGCCGAACGAAGCAGGACGCCCAAAAGTTCGGCGTTCGAGCAGACAAGAACGTGGTCTCGTGCGTGATCTTCAAGGGCGCTCTGTCGTCAGTCTCCGACCGCGCCCACTCTTCCAAACGTTTTCGCATCTTCTCATTCGACAGCTTCTCCAGGTCTTCGATGGCCTGGGCCATGCTCACACCGTGCATTCTCTTCTTCTCGGCGCGAGCAGATAAGTCGGCGGGGTCTAGAGCGGCCAATTCCTCTTTAAACCGCTGTGCCGCCTTAAAGTTTTTGATAACCTGTGTCCACAGCTGGAGGGAGTCGACGTCTGCTAAACCGCCGTTAACGACGGCGGCGTTTTCCGCCTCCTCGGGCCCGTTCTCCTCCGTGTCGCGGTCACCTTCTTCCGTGCAGTCAGCTGGTCCTTTAGACTGCACCGAAGCTCTTGAGCCGCTTATCGACGTCGCCGAGTCGACGAGCTCGCGCGGAACGCCCGAGGATCCACCAACGCTCGTCGCGTACGCGTCCAGCAACTCCTCGATCGACTCGTGGTGGGGAATCCGCCAACGAAAACTCCCGTGCGGCGCGGCAACCCATAGATATAAAGATATATATATATATATATATATATATATATATATACTCAAGGATTCAGCCAGAACGTCCCGCTTGCTTCTCGTACCTCGAAGACGCTTCCCGTCATCCGCCAACGAAAACTCCCGTGCGCGCGGCAACCCATAGATATAAAGATATATATATATATATATATATACTCAAGGATTCAGCCAGAACGTCCCGCTTGCTTCTCGTACCTCGAAGACGCTTCCCGTCATCCGCCAACGAATCATCCCGTGCAGCGCGGCAACCCATAGATATAAAGATATATATATATATACTCAAGGATTCAGCCAGAACGTCCCGCTTGCTTCTCGTACCTCGAAGACGCTTCCCGTCATCCGCCAACGAAAAATCCCGTGCAGCGCGGCAACCCATATAGTTAAAGAAAAGATATATTTACTCAAGGATTCAGCCAGAACGTCCCGCTTGCTTCTCGTACCTCGAAGACGCTTCCCGTCATCCGCCAGCGAGTTTCCCGGTGCGGCGCGCACCCCTTAGTTAGAGAAAATTGAGCCCCAGAACCAACGGTGCACGCCGGAGGCGCTTCCCGTCATCCGCCAGCGAGGTGCGGGATGGAATCGGTACCCCTTAATTAGAGAAAATTTAGCCCCTGAACCAACGGTGCACGCCGGAGGCGCTTCCCGTCAACCTAAACCTGTCGCCGACTGTGGGTTCCCCTGCCAGGCCTGGGGCCCGCAACTCCATATTAGAATCCGAACGAGTCCTCGGGATCTCGTAGGTGTCGTCACTGGTGAGCTCCCTAGGAACGAAAGGTGATGCGAGCCCTCGCGGGCCAATCCGAGCGGGGTCGCTTTTGTGCTCTTAAGAAGGCCACTCGCTCGGCGGAACCCAAGTCCCCCGAGGCGGCGATGGCGTCACCATCGACTGCGCCAGGGACGAGGACGCTGGTCGCACGAGCATGTCGGACGAGCAGTGGTGGCTGCACCTCTGCGCATCCCGCGCCACGTGCATGCGGAACACGCTGATCCTGCGGCAGCCCACGCGAGGAGTTCAAGGAGCGCGGGCCGCCAGCATCCCTGCGGAAAGCGCTCCGGAAGTTCGACGAAATAGCGGAAAGCCCCAAAACCGAGGCGGAGCAGCTCGCAGCACGGCTGGGTTTCGCGCTGCCCCCCGCCTGAGTGCGGCCGCGCCCACCTCGAGGCCCGCGGGGTTGTTGTCCCAACGGCCTGGCCTGTGGGGCTGTCCCAACGGCCCGACCCACGCCCCAGCGGCCCGCGGGGTTGTCCCAAAGGCATGGCCCGCGGGATTGCCCCAAAGACTTCGCGATGTAGCCGTCGGCGAATGCGCGCGTGCTGGCCGAGGCGGCGACGGCGCCGAGGAAAATCGACTTGCTTGCCCCGGCCAGGGGAAGGGGAGGTGCAGATGGAGAAGAAGCAGGAGGATGAGGACGGGGGAAGTGGGAGGGGGAGGGTGATGATGAGGAGGAGGTGGAAAATGAGAAGGAGGAGGAGGAGGAAAAGGAGGGGGATAGAAGGACAAATAGAGTGAGGAGGAGGAGGAGGAGGAGAGGGCAGAGCAGAGGGCGAGAGGAGGGTGTCCGCCAGGGCGAGGAGTAAAGGTCTAAGGGCAAGCTGAACAGATTCTCATGTGGGGTCCCGCGGCCTGGTAAGAGCCCCCAGAGACCGAAAATAACCAGAACCTTCCGTCGTGGTTTCTTACACGACGCGGGGAGGTCTGGGCTCGAGGGTCTCCGAACACATGTTTGACGCAGACCTGGCGAGCGCGCGGGTCGGTCAGGCGGCTCGGGCACGCTGCGTGGCGAATACAGCCTGGCAAGAGACTGAGCATCGTTTCTCCGATCCCCATCCCCAGCGGCGCGGCCTGGGCCCCACTGGCCGATTTACCCCCCCAGATGGGGATGTAGGCCGCCCCCTTCGGGTTTCGAGAGGCGGGGGGGGCAAAGCTGGACCGTGGATGCCTTCGTCGGCAGGCTGCGGCCCAGGCTCGAACGAGGAGGGCCTCGGAGCACAGGGCAGCGGGAGAGGAATGCTGATCTTCGACTGCGGGCTCGGGCTGTCTGTCGGGGCTCTCTCGCCAGATGTTGAGCAGGAAGGAAGCGGGCCCTGGGGGACACAGGTCCTGGACTCTGGGGCCTTTCCCGAGGACCTGCTCTTCACCTCGTCCTCCTCCTCCTCCTCCTCCTCCTCCTCCTCCTCCTCCTCCCCATTTCCTCCTTCTCCTCCACTTCCTCCTCTTCCTCCTCCTTCTCCTCCTCCTCCTCCTCCTCCTCCTCCTCCCCCTCCTTCTCCTCCTCCTCCTCCTCCTCCTCCGCCTCCTCCTCCTCCTCCATTTCCTCCTCCTCCTCCTCCACTTCCTCCTCCCCTCCTCCTCCTCCTCCTCCTTCTCCTCCTCCTCCTCCTCCTCCTCCTCCTCCTCATCCTCCTCCTCCTCTTCCCGATTCGGTCTCTGACGGTCACGGCGACTGGGAAGGCCCCTGAAGCCCGAATTCTACGAAAAATGCCTCACAGACACGCGTTTATCATGGCGAGGTGTGCAGGTCGTGCGTGTTGTCACGAGGGGCTCCGAACCTGGAGTGGCCAGTACACGTGTGGATTCTGGCCGGTGGCGCAGTCCGCATTCCGCTATGTGCCCTGTTCAAAGAATTTGCTGGCCGACTTTCTTTCCCATTCGAATACATGGGTCGGGCGTCCCGGCAACGAGATAGGGCTTGCCAGCGGGACGCCGCGGCGACGCAAATCTGGCACGGGACTATGCGCCACTGTTCTCGAGACAGGCGTGCTTCCGTGAGGGGCTGCTGCTGCTGACGCAGTCGTGAACGATCCTTCACGACATGGTCCTCGGAGTCGCACTCGCCGCGCCGAAGTCGACACCCCTCTTGCAATCAAGGGGCGCGACCTCGATCGAACCATTTGCCGAAGGTCTAGCGTTTACCTTGGCTCTTGCCCTTGCCCGTGCACCGAAGCCACTGGTCGAGGAGAACATCGATCTCCGCTACCTTCTGGGTGGAAGAAGCGGCGAAAGCAGCATCGACCTACCTTCACAGGAGGATGAGGAGGACGAGGACAAGGACGACGACGACGATGCGGGGGGCCTCCTCGAGGTTCTTCTGCAGGTCCTCCAAAGACCCTCTGACCTGGGCAGCGAAAGGAAGGTGTATGTAAACCAGCGCCGGTGCTCTCGAAACTGTCGGTCGCCACGAAAAGGAAGGAGGGACGGGGACGAGGAAACCAAAGAGAAAGAACAACTGATGAGGGGGAGGGGAGATAGGGGATCATTCTATACTATACATAACATACTACAACAGGTGCATTATATCATGAGAACATAAAAGACAATGTCATGTAAGACCATCGAACGTGATATGGTACGATATATAATATGTTAAAGATTGATATGATGGTATGTAGTATAATATAGTATGTAACCGGATGTGAAAATACAACATGACATAACATGTAAAACAAAGCGCCGTATCAAATTATATGAGATGAGATAGTAAGACAATAATATGATACACAATGGAATCTAATACAATATTATACATTCGTGAATAAAAATGACTGGTAGACTATAATCAGAGTGAGGGGGCTGAACCGAACGGTCATTCACTGTCCCTGGGTGCGTGGCTGAAGTGGAATTCCGCGATGCGGATTATTGTTGTTGTTTGCTGTTTGTTGTTTGTTGTTTGTTCTTTGTTGTTGTCGTCGTCCCACCCCGCGACCCACCCGCGACCCACCCCACGACCCACCCGCGACCCACCCCGCGACCCACCCGCGACCCACCCGCGACCCAGCCGCGACCCACCCCGCGACCCGCCCACGACCCACCCCGAGACCCCAGCGACCCACCAGCGACCCACCGGCGACCCACCCGCGACCCACCCGCGACCCAGCGCATGACCCAACCTCGACCCACCCGCGACCCACCCGCGACCCACCCGCGACCCACCCGCGACCCACCCCGCGACCCACCCAAAATTTTCGGCGCCTGCGGCGGGTTTCTTTTGCATTCGTTCCAGGTGGAGAACCTGCGACCACCCGCGACCCAAACCGCGCCCGCGACCCACCCGCGACCCACCCGACGCGACCCACCCGCGACCCACCCCGCGACCCACCCAAAATTTTCGGCGCCTGCGGCGGGCTTCTTTTGCATTCGTTCCAGGTGGAGAACCTGCGACCCACCCGCGACCCAAACCGCGTTCAGTGTACAAATCAAAATTTTCGGCGCCTGCGGCGGGCTGTTTTTGAATTCCTTCCAGGTGGAGGTGGAGAGCCCGCGTCCCACCCGCGACCCAAACAACGCTCACTGAACAAGCCAAAACTTCGTCGCCTGCGGCGGGTTTCTTTTGCATTCGTTCCAGGTGGAGAACCTGCGACCCAAACCGCGTTTAGTGTACAAATCAAAAATTTTCGGCGACTGCGGCGGGCTGTTTTTGAATTCCTTCCAGGTGGAGGTGGAGGAGGAGGAAGAGGAGGAGGAGGAGAAGGAGGAGGAGGGGAGGAGGAAGAGGAGTCGGAGGAAAAGGAGGAAGAGGAGGAGGAGGAGGACGAGGTGGAGGAGGCGGAGGCGGCGACGACGACGACGACGATGAGGACGAGGACGCGGACGAGGAAGAGGAAGAGGAGGAGCACGAGGAGGAGGAGAAAGAGGGCGCCATCGACAGGGAAGGTGAGGGGCACGAGGTCCGCCGGCTCGACGAGCACAGTAGTCGCTTTGGATCTTCTTCCAAAAATCTCCCCCTGGGGCTTTGGCCCGTCCCGCTGGGGTCCCGGGAAGGACCTCAATCCGGAAAAAAATCCTCCATGACGGCTCAAGATGGCGCCAAGATAGCCACGTTGGCCCAAGATGGCCTGCAAGATGGTTCAAGATGGCCTCCAAGTCCGCCCAAGATGGTCCAAGACGGCCGACGGCCCAAGAGAGTCCAAGACGGCCCAAGACGGCTCAAGAGGCCCCCAAGAGGCCTCCAAGACGGCCCAAGAGCCCTCCACGACATTGATTTTCCTTAGGTTTGTAAGTGATTGTGACATTCGCTTCTTCTCGGCTTGCCGACGACCCAAGACGGCCCAAGAGGCAGGACTGCCCAAGAGGCCCAAGACGGCCCCAAGAGGGCACAAAGACGACCCAAGAGGCCTCCAAGACGCCGAAGATTGCCTCTAAGACGGCCCTGGAGCACCCCAAGAGGGCCCGAAGTCGGCCCAGAATGGCCCCCAAAACGGCTCAAGACGGCTCAAGACGGGCCAGGAGCCCACCAAGATGGCCAAAGTTGGCTCGAAGCTGGCCGAAGACTGCCCAAGAGGCCTCCAAGAGGGCCTCCAGGAAGGCCAGAAAAGGCCGAAAACACTGATTTCCCATGGGTTCTCGAAGAATTTTGACATTGGCTTCTTTTCTGCCTTCCGACGGCCCGAGACGGCCCAAGAGCCCCCAAAGATCGCCCAAAGATCGCCCAAGAGGCCTCCAAGATGGCCCCAGAACGGCCCAAGAGGCTCCCAAGACGGCCCCAAGAGGCCCCCAAGACGGCCCAGGAGGCTCTTAAGACGCCCAAGATGGCCTCCTAGACGGCCTTGGAGCATTCCAAGAGGGCCCCACGTCGGCCCAGAGAGGCCCCCCCAACGGTTTCCGACGGCCCTGGCCCACCAAGACGGCCGAAGATGGCACTAAGATGGCCCAAGACTGCCCAAGAGGCCTCCAAGAGGGCCTCCAGGAAGGCCAGAAAAGGCCGAAAAAACTTATGTCCCCTGGGTTCTCGAAGAATTGTGACATTGGCTTCTTGTCGGCCTTCCGACGGCCCGAGACGGCCCAAGAGCCCCCAAAGATCGCCCAAAGATCGCCCAAGAGGCCTCCAAGATGGCCCCAGAACGGCCCAAGAGGCTCCCAAGACGGCCCCAAGAGGCCCCCAAGACGGCCCAGGAGGCCCTTAAGACGCCCAAGATGGCCTCCTAGACGGCCTTGGAGCATTCCAAGAGGGCCCCACGTCGGCCCAGAGAGGCCCCCCCAACGGTTTCCGACGGCCCTGGCCCACCAAGACGGCCGAAGATGGCACCAAGATGGCCAAAGACTGCCCAAGAGGCCTCCAAGAGGGCCTCCAGGAAGACCCGAAAAGGCCAAAATCATTAATCCCCCATGAGTTGTTCAAGGATTGCGGCATTTGCTCATTTTCGGCCTTCCGACGGCCCGAGACGGCCCAAGTGCCCCCACAGATCGCCCAAGGGGCCCAAGACTGCCCCAAGAGGCCCCCAAGACGGCCGCAGAGGCCTCCAAGACGCTCAAGATGGCCTCCAAGACTGCCAAGAGCCCTCCAAGACGCCCCCCAAGAAGGCCCGAAAGGGCCAAAATGGCCTCCAGGCGGCCAAGATGACCTTCAAGATGCCCACGTGTTCCCCGAAGGCTTTCCAAACCGATTCGGGGAACACATGGTCCGATAGCTTGGCAGGTCTGGCCTCAACGTTCGGCCACATAGGCGTTTCCATAAAGGCAGGGGGCGGCCTGTCGATTCATCGTTTCGGTTCTTTCCCCCCCCCCCAAAAAAAAAACTCCCCCTGGGGCTTCGGCCCGTCCCGCCGAGGTCCCGGGAAAGATCTCAAAACGCATCCGTCGATGCCTTTTGCTGCCACGAGTTGGCCCAAGATGGCCTCCAAGACGGCCAAGATGGCCTCCAAGTTCGCCCAAGATGGTCCAAGATGGCCTCCAAGATGGCCCAAGAGGGTGCAAGATGCCTTCTGAATCGTCCAAGAAGCCGCATAACCAACCAAGATGGCTCCAAGATGGCTTCAAGATGGCCCAAGAGGGTGCCAAGAGGTCCCCCAGGAGAGCCCGAAGAGGCCAAAATCATTGATTTTGGCATTTGGTTCTTTTCAGCCTTCCTCGAGGTTTCCAAGATGGCCCCATGACGGCCCAAGAGGCGCCCAAGACGGCCCAAAGAGGGCCCCAAGACGGGTCCAGAGAGTTTGAAAGGGGTTGGAGGCCCAACCAGCAGCTTCGCCTCAGGCGAAGCCCAGCTCCCGCTCTGTTGTACCGTAGTAACGATAGTCTCAGCAGTAGGGGGCGAGCCATCTCAAGCAGTTTTAGTATCGATGGCAAATGGTACACCTCGCGCTGAGTTGTAGTCCGATCTGGGCGGTCGGCCGCTTTGAGCCAAGCAGCCGCGGATGCACGCTCGTTCCCACTCACATGCAACACCCAGCTCACTTTAGAGTCGGGGGGGAGTGAGACGAAGCGTGAACCCGCCGCCTCTATACAGCAGGTACAGCAGCGACTATTTACAAAAAGGGCAGCAAAAGGGCGGGGCCGTAAGGAAGGTGGACCCGCACGCAAGTTGCCTTGCCTGCACTATACTGTGCATACGAGTACTCCTCAGGCGGCTACAGAACGAGATGCCTGGCCAGCCCGATAGGGAGTATGACGCTGTAAATCATGTCCGAAGGATTGTGTACCTCCCATGACCTGTAGGAGCATTTCTCTGTCGATGCTCCCCTTGGTGTGACCGTCCGCTGTCATATCGCGGGTGTCACACCACTGAATACTGTGCACGATTCCTCGCTCCATCATCGGTCGTATCCAGCTGATGTGTCCTAAAAGGGTACACTCAGTCGGCTTCTTCAAAAAAACAAGCTCAGCATCTATGGTCAAAGTGACCTTGATGCTCAGGCCACCCAACTCAAGTATGTATTTCAACTGAGTGGGAGTTAACGGCCCTGCGTGGAGCTCGTGCAGAGTCACGACCGTGGGATTACAGTCCTCCAAGTTGCGGGCTGCTGCTAGTGTCTCTGCTGAATAGCTCAAACGGACCTGCAAGCAGTGAGACATGCAGTACGCATCGATCAAGTGAACGACGGGCTTACCGGATGGCGTGCTTCCACGCCGTAGCAGGTTTGCCCCGCGAATACCATAGCCTTTGACTTCGTCATCAGCATCTCCACTCAGGCGTCGGTACCCTGAGTCGCTGTGCAGGCCAACCTCGCCCGTAGGGGTCATCGCCTGGTAGACGATATTCTTAGGGCAGGCCTGCAGTTTCCTGGTAATCGCGTTCAGTCGTCGCACTTGTATATGGGTCGGTTCTTGGACAAGTTGTAAAGAAACCATAGACACCATCCACCACGCCTGGGTGATTAATGCAGACGCCAATGCGCCTCTAAG